ACTTAATTCACATTGTCTCTCATGTTCATTCATTTTTCTCAAGATAGTCCTTGAAGTAGTTGTAAATATTAAATGTTTCATCACACGGTAGCCGTAACTAATACATATGATCAGCAAGAGTATTTTAGAGAAGATAACACATATTTATTATAAATAATTAATTTAACTAGTTTTTTAAATTAACTCAAATTAGTCAACAAACTCTTATATTAAGAACCGGAAGTAGTTTGTGTGTGTGTATATTCAGTTTTAACTAAGAGTTCAAGGACTGAGTCACTGTACTAAGTTAAAATTTGAATGACCAAAAAAGATTAACTTTCCAAATAATATTTACTTTAAACCAAATGTAAATAAGATGATGCTTTTGATAGTAGGTGCTATTCTTTGTCCTGGTTGGTGTGAGCTGGCCCTCGTGACCACTTTGACGTGCGTTTAACTAGGGGCTGCTGAATTGACCAAGTCTTACACTAATTAGTCTTCCAAGTCTTCCACTAATTAGTCCATCTTCTTCTGCAAGACCCAGGAAGCAAGCAAGCCACGGACAGGCTCTCCATGCGTGCGACTCATCACACACACACACACGCACACATATATATATGAAGAAACAGCTCGATTCCCTTCTGTACATCATTGCTTATTCTTCCTTCTTCATCTTCGCTCTCTAATTGCATCAAGCAAAAGATGCTTCAACCTGATAATCTCCTTTCTTTGGTTATCACCTTCGCGATCTGGTCATGGGGGACACTTAACGGCGTCGTTTCGGAGCCACAGACCAATCTTGTAGCTCGAGGATGCACCCCAGCAAAGTTACTAGTGTTGTCCAACTTCTCCATCATCAACCACGGCATAAACGCAACGTTTCGAGACATCAGAGACCAGATCGTCACTCAAAACAAGTACTTCGCCACAGCGCAGCAAGCCAACTCAGAAAGCTCCGTTAGCAGTCTTTTTCAGTGCAGAAACTATCTCTCCGTTCGTGATTGTCTTGCCTGCTTCGACGTCGCCACTGTACAAATCCGCAATGGCTCTGCTGCCGGTGGCTATGTCGTCTACGACGGCTGCTTTCTCAGGTACAACTTCATCCTCCACTTTTCTTTCTTGTTCATATGTGCTTAATACTTTCCACTACAAAAAAAATTAACTTTCAGCAGTGACATAAAGTTTTCAGGGTGACTTATCACCGCTGAAAAGTGGTTGCCATAATGACCGTGGTTGAAAACTTTCAACAGTGACAAAAAAGGTCACTGCTAAAACACATTTTCAATGGCGACTTTTAGAAGTTTCAACAGCGATATTTGTTGCCCTTGAAAGTGACTTTCAGTGGCGAATTTTTTGTCGCCGCCAAAAACGACTTTCAGTAGTGCCTTTTTTGTCGTCGCAAAAAGTGATGCCTAAGAAAAATTAGCTTTACTGACGCCACATTATCACTGCCGGTGACCATGTCATCACTAGCCACCTCCATGTTATCGTCAACCACCTCCACATTGTTGCCATATCACCTGTCCCATGCCACGTCACCCTCTCACCATCCAAATATTTTCACTGTACATGTGTCTTCTTCAAGGTTCGAACTCGTGACTATCTTCTTGCGTGTCAAATCTTCTTGTCATTGAGTTGAATTGAATTTGTTTATTGTTATTGTAAAATAAAATATATATTATTAAATTATACTTTCGACGGCGACATTAGAAAATCGTCGCTGAAAGTCAGACCTTCAGCAACGACACTAATAATCGCTTCTGAAAGTCTACTTTCAGCGGCAACCCTAAAAGTCGTCGCTGCTACTAAAAGTGAACCCTATATTCAGTGGCGACGAAAAAAATTGTCATAGTACGCTCACAGTAATTTAACTATAATCATCTCTCCCTCATAAACTTAACTATGCTATCCCTTTCAATTATAATGCATTCCTCTCACACACACCATCTCACTTTCAGTTATATTTTAATTACATGTTACATCTCTCTCTCATACACTCTATCTCTCACTACCTTCCCATCTTTCTTTATCTCTTAAATGTACATCTCTTTCTCTCTCATGTATGCTTGCACCCCATTCCTCACACACACTCTTAATTCTATCTTACATATATAATTATAACATCTCTATCTCATACACACCCCACTCATTCTACCTCCTCCTTTCTCTCTCACTCACTACATTATCAATAAAAACAATTAAGATATAAATATAATAACCTTTAATAAAAACAATAAAAGAAATTTGAAAAGCACTTTCAGCGGCGACATTTTGTCACCACTGAATGTTGTACCTCTTAGCACAGACCACATGCGGTAACCACAGAAAGTCCTACATTCAGCAGTGACTTTGATGTCGCCACTAAAAAGTCCCACTTTTGATGGTGACAATAAAAGTCACCACTGAAAGTCATACTTTCAATGGTGACTTTTTTTGTCACCACTAAAAATTGTCACTGAAAGTGATATTTTTGTAGTGCTTCCAGTCCTAAATATAAGACCCATTTTGTAGTGTAAATTACACTACAAAATGGGTCTCATATTTAGGACCGGAGGGAGCATTAGATTTTGTTTGATTTTTATTTTAGTTTTACATATAAGACCTCAATTCACTTTGTTTCCTATATTTATGCATTTCTTTTTTCTAAGTTAGTTCTTCTAATAATGGTAGTTCTAACCAATATATTTTATTAACAAGGATATTTTAAAAAAAACAATACCTATTTATTACAAATAACTAACTAAATTTATTTCCTTAATCTATTCGCCTTCGTCAACTAGCTTTTATATTTAGGAGCGAAAGAAGTGTGTGTGTATATCCTACATGTGGGAGAAACACATTCCGTATGGTCATCTTAATGTGGATTAGCTTCAATTGTCTATATTGACTTTAGATTGTTGAAACCTAATTGAAATTGATTTTCAAAATGAATAGGTTTTATTTATGGAAAAATTATAATAAAGTCCCATCCAAGAGAATTAAATACAAAAAATATCTTAAAATTATCAAATTATTTTGATATCCCAAAAACCTCATTGTAAAAATATTTTATTTATTTAACTATTAAATTGCCCTTATTTTTTAAAAAATTTTATATTGATAACTGAAAGAATAGTTGTTAACAACTTAAGATATAAACGATTAACAACTATCACGACAGGTATTGATAATACACTTTCTCAGCACATAACAAAAATATAATATAGGAGTTATTAATAGCTACCGCAATAGTTGTTAATCCTTACAACTAAAGCTGTTAACGACTACACTTTCAATTATGAATATATACTTTAAAAAGAAATAAAGACAATTTGGTAATTAAACAAATAGAATCTCTTGTAATGAGATTTCTTGAGACTCCAGAATAATTTGATAATTTTAAGAAATTTTTTTGTATTTAATTCTCTTATATGGGACTTGATTTGTAATTTTTTCTTTACTCATTTAGTTTAAATTAGATCTGGACTGTGGATATTTCGTGATAAGCTGAGTAGGCTAGCTTGTGGGGCCTTCACTCTCTTGCTACGTGTGGTCCACAGTCCACACATTGACGGCCCTTTTTCCCATTAAGGGCTTATTTGGAATAATAAATTAAAAAAGTTAAAATCCTCTTTGCCTGTTAAGGTTCTGGTTTATTGGCTGGTGAGTTTTCCTCTTTCTTCTTTTTATCCTTTTTTCGGCCTGGTAGAACCTGCTCCTCCTTCTTTCTTTCTTCTTCCTGTTCTCTTCTTGGGGAAGGGTCCAACACACAAAACCAGTCCAGCACAAGCTATTTGGGTCTCTCGGGTCTGAACCGGTCCGGGTTTAAGAACATAGTCGTTTGGGTCTCCTTTCTCTGCTGTTCTCTTGCCAGATTTGGCATGAGATAATGATGGGTTCTTCGTTCAAAATTTGAATCTTGAGTCTTGTTGTTTTTCTGATCTGGATTCTTCCTTCTCTGCTACACAGAATTAGATTTTTTGCAACCACAGATACTAGAATAGAATTTGAAGCCCAATGCCCGGTGACCAGTCTCCGGTGACCAGCATAGGAGACTAAGCCCATTCGGGTTTGGTGCTGGGCTTTTTTAGCCAAGTGCCGAACTGGGACTAGTCCTATTTAAAGTACATCTATTTTGAGGAGTTTAATTTACTTGCAATTATAATAGTGGTCATTATTAATATACCATTAATTTCCTGATATAACAATTATGCCTAATTAATTAATAATTCTTTCCAAGCAGTTATTAAATGATTTGATCTGCCATTATGGTCCTAAATGTAAGTTACTTGTAGAGGAAGTTTTGGTCTTAAAAGTAAGTTACTTTATAGTAAATTTAATGCTTGTATTTTTAATTTCACCCTTATTTAATCTTATTGGAAAGAGAAAAAAAAATGATAGATATGAGAATGATTTGTAAATATAAAAAGAGAAAATTCAAATTATGGTAAAATTGGAAACTCTATCAATTTAATGCATTACATAGTATGCGAAAATGAGTTACAACTTATAAGTGACTGATATTAAAGGCAAGGGTGCCATATACTCCCTCCTGTCCTATTTACAAGCTTCACATTTAGGAAAAACATGATTTATTTTATAAGTTTTTATTTGAGTTTCTCTTAGCATTTAATGTATTTTTTTAATGTTTTCATTAATTATTTTTCTTTTATCATATGTTTTCACATATTCTCTTTTATCTTTTTTCTCATATATTATAAGGATATATTTAAAAACAAAAGTGTATTTTTAACTTATTTATTATTTTTAATTAATTTTAACTAATTATTTATTATCTGTGAATTAGTTATTTAAAACTTATAATAAGATCAGAAGGCAATAGTAAGCTCTATGACTATAAGTCATCATAATTATCCGGGTTTATCTCTAACCTTGATTAATGTATAGGGTAAGATCTAGAGCCACGGGGTGAAGTAGAAACGCAAAATTATTCGTAGTTTGGCTTTTTCATTCAAGGTGCGCAGAGTACCGTGGTCTTCTCCCTCATTCATTTATTGTCCTTCTTTCCATTGTTTTTAATCCTCCCTTGGCTTTTTTTTTTTTGAAATGATTTAGAATTATTCATATGATACACTCAAAAAAGGCTACCTAAAATTTTAATATATTTTTTACTTTTGCCCTTCTTACTTATATGTTATCTATCATCACATTTTTCTGCTTGTTCTCTTTCATTCACTCTCTCTAAATAAAGATTAAAGATATACTTAGTAAAAAAATATTTTTTATGCATCTTTTATTTTTAGCTAACTTTTGATTTATGCAATTCAGTTATTTGTATTTTATACATGAAATTGTGGGAGTATTTTCAGGAACAACGCTAAAGGATTAAGCTATGCCCCACTGGAAAGTAGAAACAACTAACCACTATCCTATTAGGGCCCAAACCCCAAAATAGCTTCCCACACCAAATTATTTACTCGAAATTTCATAATTCATAGGAAAATATCACATAGTCAACACGCGGAGAGGTGAGAGAAAAACAAACAAACAAACAAACATCATAATATAACCTTAATGTTGGTACCCGGTCAATATGGGTATCATTGTTGGAATTTTCCAACTTCCACCTGTCATTGTTAGTGTTCGGAGCCCATCTCATTTTTTATTTTTTGGGCACTGGAGGGCACTGCCCCACGCAGTTTACAAGGCCTTCGGGTCAAAAAAAGAAACTTTCAAAAAATGCAACATTGACATTCCATGCAATAAAGAGTTTTTTTTTTTTAATTGCATCCTTCAGTCACCGCAAAATTGAAAAAAAAAAAAAAACCGTGAAAAATGGTAAAATCGCAAATCACGATTCGTTATAAACCTTGTATAAGTTTTTAATAACGGCAGTAAATTTTTGACAAAATATCTGATTTATAATTTTACAATTTCTATGGTTTTTTTTTTCTTTTTTAGCGATTTTCCTTTCGATCAATCATTTGAAAACGATGACCAAATGTGTTGAAACAGCTGATCAGATGCCTCTGATCTTAAGCCACATGGCTATCTTCGATTTCCCTTAAATGTATCAGTTTCTTCTTCCTCATTAATTCTGTGATATCATTCTCCTCTTCAAACACCAATCTCTAATCTCTCATATAGTTCATACATCGCCAGATCCAACTTGACCTCTCTTTCCTTCTTCCTCTTCATTATTCTGTCCACCTGCAGCCAACCTCTACACACACGCATATAGACATAAAACATGCTTCTTCAACCTATTTTCCTTTCTGTAATCTCCATATTCTGGTCATGGTGGATACTTGACGGCGTCGTTGCGGATCCACAGACCACTCTTATATACACCCGCTGCACACCATCTGCCAACCAAGACGTCTTGCCCAACTTATCCATCTTCCATGAAAACGTAAACGCAACGTTTCGAGAGATCAAAGAGAATATCGTCTCTGAGAACAAGTACTTGGCGACGGCAAGGAAAGCCAACGCAGAAAACCCTGTTTCTACACTTTTTCAGTGTAGAAACTATATCTCCATTCCCGACTGTGTCGCCTGCTTCGACGTCGCAGCCCGGCAAGTCCGTAAGTGTCCTCCGGCGGCACAAGGTGCCGGCGTTGTCTTCGATGGCTGCTTCCTCAGGTACAAGTCGTCCGCAAATTAAGCTCCAGTTTGACCTTCCTATTTTGAATAGAAATTAAGCTCCAGTTTGACCTTCCTATGTGGAGATGGTTTTTTTTTTTTTTTGGGGGGGGGGTGGATATAGTCATATAGATAAGATATTTATTCATTTTGATAACCGAGGGAGTGGTTTGTGTGGTTTACATTGATATATGCTAATTAAATAGTAGAGAAAATAAAGAAAATAAATTTTAGTTATTACTTCCCATTTTTAGTATAGGATTTAATTTGTAGTTGAAATTGAATTAGAAACTAAATCTTGTATTATAACTTAGATATATTTTTTGTTGAAGGTGTGATACTAAAGTTAACACTGACAGCATGCAAAGATAAATAAATATATATAGTTGATGATAAATAATTTCCAAATTTTGATTTCATGAAAATTTTCTTATATAAGAAAATTGTTTTAATTAGCAAAATTTTAATTGCATTAAAATAACAATAAAATTAAAAGTTGTTTTGAGCCCAAAAAGAAACTTTTTTATATACTCGTCAATTGATCAACCCCAATTACAAACCAACTTATTAGAATTCACAGCTTTATTGTAATAAATCTACCCCTACCTTCGATCCTAGTCATTTAGAAATGACTAGAGTGAGATTCTCCCATAATATCTACATTACATAAGGTTGGTACCCATGAGAAGGGACATTAGTTAAACTGATCCACTAAAAGATTAAAGAAAATTCCTTACATTCTCTGAATCCACAGTCCACATAAATAGCTGAAAGAATAATGCAGCCTTCAATCAGTGTAGCCACCTATCTAGCTCTTGGTGCTTATTCATAGAACTAATCGTATATAAACAGCTTAATTTATATGATTTGTGATTTTAGGTCTCTTCTGGAGCTATATTAAGTTTCTCATATTTTTTATGTCAAGGTCTTCAATTATATATAACAATGTATCCTGTTTTTTAATTAAATGATAATATTTTCAAAATAAAACGCATAGCCATGACATAATGAATATAAAAAACTTGATCTAAAGTTTTTTTCTTTTGGTTAAAATTATGACTTATTCTCCAAAAGTTGATTCAAACACACCCCCAATCCATTTACAAAATATCATCTTATAAGTTTGATATGTAAATGAGATAAACCCTTACTAATCTTGGAAAATTTATATGGCATACATTTTGTTAATTGAGGTACGAGACCAATGCCTTCTTTTGGAAGACAACGGAGGATTTCAATGCCGTATCATGTGGAAATCAAACTGTAGGAGAATCCATTACATTATTTACCTCACTTGTGCAACAACTGCTAAAGAATCTGCAAACAACAACACCCAAAAAGCAAGGGTTTTTTGCAGCCACAAAGATAGAATTGCCTGATAATAATGGTACAACTGTTTATGGCTTTGCTCAATGTATTGAAACTGTCACTCCAAACGGCTGTTTCAATTGCTTGAACACTGGATATGACAATATTATGCCCACTTGTCTTCCCAAGTCGGATGGTAGGGCTTATGCTGATGGATGTTTCATGAGATACTCCACCTCTTCCTTCTTTCCACATTATTACCAGCCCATTGATATTACTTCCTTGGGCAAACAAGGTATGGCTCTTTCAAAGATTTTAATATATATATATATATATATAAAACAAATATTATTGCAGCATGACAATTTGATTTGCTTGTGTACTAACCCCAGCATCGATTAAGGGATTTTATTATAAATAAAATTTACACAGAATTGCAAACATTGAGAATTCTCTAAGGATTCATGCAACTTTTTTATTCTTTCAATCTTTTCCCACTATTTTATTAGGTTCCATTTGAATTTTTTCATTTATCCAATATTGGAAAGAATTAGTACAATCTTTCATAATTTTTATAATTATTATCTATTATGCTCATCGTGAAGATATCTAGTTGTGAACATTTATCTTTTAAACTACCTGTTTCTCATTGAAAACGATATAAGTGCCAATATTGATATTGACATATGTTTCTTTTTTACCGATAAAACGTTATTGATATGTGTTATTTCTTTGTACTTTTTAGAGGAACATTTAATATGCAAAAATTATGACTTATTTGAAAACGAGTTATCTAGTCTTGTCTTGTAGGTTCAAGTAAAAAGGGGGCCGTTATCGGGGGAGTTGTTGGAGGATTTGCTCTTGTTATGATCCTCTTGATATTATTTATCTGTATTAGACGATCAAAATACTCGAAGAGAATTCACAGAGGTAAACATACTTTCATCTCCATGAAGGGATGGATCCCTAATTGGTTCTTTCAGTTTATGAAGATACTTTGACAAGTGTTCTTCTTATCAATATATAGGGGACATTACTATTGCAACTATGTTGAAAGGCCTGATTTCTTACAATTATAAGGATTTGAAGTTTGCAACTCAGAATTTTAGTGAAGAAACTAAACTAGGAGAAGGAGGATTTGGTGCTGTATATAAGGTGCATAACTTTATTTTGATCTCATGTGTTTTAATAATTATAGATCATGTTCTAAAGGAATGATGTTTTTAAGTGAGATTCATGTAATGTAAAAATTAAAGTTAGATTTCCAATGGGACAGAGGAAAAACTTATATAACTATTTCCTGATTGGAATTTTAAATCATCATGAATAGGGCACTCTAAGGGATGGGAAAGTGGTTGCAGTCAAGAAGTTAACTTTACTCCACTCCAAGAAGATAGAGGAAGATTTTTTGAGTGAAGTGATGCTTATCAGTGATGCTCATCATCCGAATCTTATTCAACTTTTGGGATGGTGTAGTAAAGGCCGTGACAGAATCCTTGTATATGAATACATGAAGAACAATAGTTTGGACAGATTCATATTTGGTATCTTGCATCAACTAACAAAACTTATATATAGTTTATTAAGCATTTGTTTGTTATGCTTCTTAATTAATTAGTAACACTATATATGACTCGTGAATCGTTTACTCAACAAACAGGTCATTACTCATATGTCATCATTTTAATATATAACTTAATGCACACATACACGCACATCAATTCCCTGTGGTAATATTTTGAGAATCATTTTTGCTTCGCTCTTGTTCTTCTCTCGCTATTCTTTTTAATATGTTTCAATTTTGTGAACTTGGCAAATAGGTGAAAAGAAAGGTCATCTCAACTGGGAGCAGCGATACGCTATAATTTTGGGAATAGCAAGAGGCTTAACTTATCTCCATGAGCAATTTCAAGTCTGTATCATACACAGAGATATAAAGACCAACAACATTCTCTTAGATGATGATTTACAACCTAAAATTGCTGATTTTGGATTGGCAAGATTTTTACCTGAGGACAAATCTCATCTTAGTACAAAATTCGTGGGAACATTGTAAGTTAAAATGAAAAAATTTCTATAATTTCCTTAACTTTCTATTATATTACATAGCTAGGTTGTCTATCATTTTGATAAAATCTATGCTTAAAAAATAACAACTCTTCTAGTAGTACACCTACAAATAATGCTAACCTTTCCAATTTTGTCTTCATAACATGAACTTGCAAAAAGAATATTCATAGGTATGTCAAAATGATCCAATATTTGCATTGCACAACTCTATTTGAGATTTGTTTGGATAATATTTATTTGCCCCTATTTGAGCTAGTATAATATCAATTATATCATTTAAATATTATGTATTTTTTTAGAGGATACACAGCACCAGAATATGCAATTCATGGTCAATTATCAGAGAAGGTTGATATTTACAGTTTTGGTATTGTACTCCTTGAAATCATTACTGGCCAGAAAAGCAAAGCATTCAAGGATCATGGTGATGCTGAAGATGAATTCCTCCTACCAAAAGTGAGAAATTTGCTATAATTATCTAAGAAGAGTTATTTTGAAAAGACTTAGATGTAGGACTTTTTAAACAACTCAGCTTAACTCTTTTGAAAAAAGTTCCTCTTTTCTGTGAAAAAATCTACTAATAAATGTTTCTAAAAATTAATAACTGAGGTTTTCCTTTGTCTTTTCTACTTGTTTTATTCCATTTCACCTTAATCCCACTTGTTAGGTTTGGAAACTATATGAGAGAGGCATGCACTTAGAGTTGGTAGATCAGGCCTTGGACCTTACTGACTCCGAAGCAGAAAAAGTGAAGAAAGTCATAGAGATTGGTTTGCTTTGCACCCAAGCTTTTGCTGATTTAAGGCCAACAATGTCTGAAGTGATTGATTTGCTCCAAAACAGTGGCTTATCGCATATGAGACCCTCTATGCCCGTCTTAATTATAACTAGTTAGGGGTCAATGGAAGACACCTTTTTACCTTTACTATTTCCTGCCCATCATCAAATGTTATTGTGCTCACTTGTATAGTACCAGAAAGATTGTTGGAATGTATCTAAAATAAAGAGATGTATTTTTTAAATTTACAAATTAATAAATTTATATGAAAAATTGTGTAGGGAATTAGAATGCTAAAAGTCACCAAAATCATGTTTCTTTAATCTTTAAAGACATGTTATGATAGGTCACAAGTAGGACATAATATAATTTACGGGCTATTTGCAAAGGAGGGATAATGTATGATACTCTATGTAAGCAAATATAGTTCCAATTAATTTAATTAATTACACTTTGTCGTGTATATATATAATTATCTATTGAAAAAAATAATGGTTTGCTTTTGTCATTTTATCGTATTAATAAAACAAGGACGACTGGTTTGACTGGATCCCACCGGGGGGCGGGGGATATTCATTTTATTTTGTACGATGGATACATGTATGATATCAATGACAAACTACGTTTTGGTCTAAAATCCAGGCCCGCAATATTTTTCATTTCCCTTATTTAATATTCCTCCCACATTTATCCTTATTAATTTCATTATTTTCCTTACTTTATTTGTCAAAACTTCACTACAAACTATATTTTATAGGAGTAAAAGTTGTGGCATTCTGGTTTTTAATCAAGGATTTAGGGTTGATCAAACTTGAATTTAATCTGATCTTTAGGTGTGTTAAAAGTTTTTTGAGGTTTGTAAGATATAAGGGTAAGCTAAAGGTTGTTTTGAAGCAGTTTTGGGGCTTTTTGTATTCTTCGCTATGGCAAATGTCATTGAAATGAAGTCTTTAATTTGTCGTCTTGGGATTACTTTAAAAATAAACCAAATTAATGTAATAGAGTGCGCGATCCGGGACGTATTAATTTTAAGGAACATCTAAAAATTTCTAAGTAACTTAGTATACAAAATAACCTAAATATGTATAATAACCAAAATAAACTATGACATAAATGGATTAAGTAAGTTGGAAGGCCCAATTAATTTAAGTTACAAGGAGTTGAAGTTTGCTACTAAAAATGTGAGTGCAGAGAATAAACTCAGAGAAGAAAGATTTGGTGTTGTATACAAGTGACAAACTCAATTATTTTTATATATTTTGATATCTTTTATATGGGTTTTGTTAACTTAATTAGTCCCTTTTGACCTTAATTAATTGATTAATTGATTTAATATGTTTTATTTTGAATTATTATTTTATAGGGGCAAAATTGTCATATTTTGGTTTAATTGTGACCAATTGATTTTTGAGGACAATTAATGCTACCTTATCTTTAAATTTTTGCATGCAGGTTTTTGGAAGATTTTAAAAATAAAAAAAATAAATAAATAAATAAATTAAAAAATAATAATAAAAGGGGGAGCAAAACACTGCGTTTTGCTCCACCCCTAATATCTAATATTACATTCATCATCAGGGGGACCCGGAAGCAGAAACACGCTAGCTGAGACGAAAACAGAGGAGGGACGCCGAGCGAGCTTGGGGGCGAGGAGGCGCTGGCGGCGGAAGAAAAATTCAAAGACCAGCGAGCTGAGGGACCAGTGAGCGACATCGCCTTCACCTTCTTCTCCTGGGCACGACAAAACCGGCACAACAGAAGAGAGAGACAGTAGCTTGAACTGAGACGCGAGCAGAACAGGGGCAGCACGAGCTCGACGGCACCTTCCTCATTCTTCTCCACGATTTGTTTCTGGTGGCAGAAATAAATCAGTGACGGCGTGAAGAGGCAGAAAGAGTGACCAGCGTGAACAGGATCATGATCACCACCGTCTTCTTCACTGCCATGGCCGAGTGTAGGAGTAAACTGATCGAAGGAGATTCTGAAATCATGGCAAACCGTGGCTAGCTTCACAATTCTCTAATTCAATAATAATGGCAGGAGCTTGGATCATCAAAGGGGAGTTTTAGTTGCTTTAATTTCCTCTCTAATAATTGTCTAACAATTCCTAGGTCTTAGGATAGTTATTCTAATTATTAGAAAATTTTGTATTGTTAAATCTGATTATCTGTGAAAATTATTATGGCTGGATTATTGTTTAGCATTTGACATTGGGCCGTTTATAGCTTTGATTTCAATTATGATGTTGTAGTCATGACATTTGTATTGATTTTGGAGTTAATATATTGTGATTTTTTAAGGTGGCTTGAAATCTTGGATCATATTGTCTCTTGCTAACTTTAAGTCTATTGTTGTGGATTTAAGAATTTAATTAAGCATTGGTTTTTAGTATCCTTAATTTCATTTTACTATTCTGGTTGCAGTTAGTAATTTGAATTTTTGGAAAAATATTTTGAGGCAATTCAAGGTGGCTCGGTTGTTGGATTAAAAGCTTAATTATAATTCTTAATTCATTGTTTTAACTCCCACATCTTTTAGAGTGATGATTGCCTGAGTTGTTGAATTGGAGAATTGATTATTATCATTGTTATTTGTGTATTTCATTTTCATTTCTTTCATCTTTATTTATTTCAATCATTTTTTATATAAAAATAACACACAAAAAATATTTTAATTTCAGTTTAATTCAAGGCATTTAGTTAGCAATTCCTCAAAATCAAAATCCTTTTTTATAGTTTAGGTTATTTACATTTATTTACTAGGGTTTAATTTCATTTTCGGCTCCTCAAAGTGAAACGACTCGAGTTTTGCACCATATTGCATTAATTCGATTAATTTTTGGAGTAACCCCAAAGCGACAAATTAAGGGCAAGTTAACTTCAACAAGGTAACTATATATTTTGGTTTTCAATCTTTTGATCTATAGGTCATGTTTTAAAGCAGGGATGTCTCTAAAGGGATACTTGCATATAGAGTTGTACAATAAGAGAAACTTCTAGCAATGATTGACATTCTTAATCTTCAACATAGGGTTCGTTGAAGAATAGAAAAGTAGTTGCTGTGAAGAAATTAATTACTCCTCCGATTCTAAATATAAAACCCATTTTGTAGTATAAATTACACTACGAATGGGTTTTATATTTAGGACCATAGGAATACTTTATGCCAATTCAAGAAGGTGGAAGAAGAATTTGAAAGTAAAACTTATAAGCAATGTTCATCACTGTTCATCACTAGAATCTTATTTGGTTTTTTGGATATTGCAGTAAAAACAATGAGAAATTTCTTATTTTTGAATAAATGAAAAGCACCAGTCTTGACAAATTCGTATTTGGTATATTTTGTTTGTCAACAAAGATGATATGCTGTTCTTTAATCTTTAGGTATCAAATTTTTCAGAGTAATTAATTGGCAAGTCTTTATAATTTCACTTAATTTTTAATTAGGTCCTTGTAATTTTTTCTTTTTTTGTCAGGTCTTTATAGTTGTACTTGTTTTTAATTCCTGTTGTTTTTTCTTCCCATTTTATCTAGTACTTATAGTTTCATTAGTTTTTAATAATATCCATGTATTTTTTTTTCCTTTTCATCAGTCACCTAAAACTATAAAAGACTTTATTAAACAGCAAGTAGAACTATGAGCACGTGATTAAAAATACTATAGAGACTTGATTAAAAAGAGGAAAAACACTATAAGGACATGATTAAAAATTAGATGGAACTCCAAAGACTTGCATATTAATTATCTTGAATTTTTTTTAATATAAAATGATGACATTTGGATATATTTTCGACGGACAAATATATCCCTAGCTCCTCCAGCAATAATTCATTCACGTGTCATAATTTCATTCAAGAATTATGAAAACCTTTTTTTATGCATAAATGCTATTCTTTTTTTTTTCAATGGTTTGTATACAGTATAATTTTAGGAATAGCAAGAGGTCTAGCTTACCTGCATGAAGAACTTCATATTCGTATTATAGATAGAAATATAAAGACTAACAACATTTCAACCAAAAATTGCTGATTATTTGGCTTAGCAAGACTTTTACCTGAGGAGCAATCTCATCTTAGTAGAAAATTTGCTAGAACATTGTAAGTCAAAATATTTGATTTTTGTGATATTCTAAGAATTCAATTGGTAGCACACATGGTACAACACATTACCTTGTACATATCTATTTCATATTAAAAATATTGTTCTTGCATTAATTTGAGGCATCAACTACAACATAAACATGATATATTTTTAAGAGGATATACTGTACTAGAATATGTAATTCATGGTTAATTATTAGAAAAAACTGATATTTATAAATATGGCACTATAATCCTAGAAATTATTAGCAGTGAACGAATTAAGGAATTGAAGATTCATGGTGATTTTGAAAGCGAATTCCTCCTCAAAAAAGTAAGAAAAATTCTATGATTAATTAGAATTGGCAATTTCATTGGAGAAAATTTGATAATGCAGGACTGTTTTAACCATTCAAAGTTTTGCTTTGTCTTGTTTGTCCTTCTTATTCACTTGACAGGCTTGGAAGCTATATGGGAGAGGCATACACATAGAGTTGGCGGATGATACCTTGGATCCTTATGATTATAATGCCGCCGAAGTGCAGAGAATTATAGAGATTGGTCTGCTTTGCACCCAAGCACCTGCTGAATTAAGGCCATCAATGTCTGAAATAATTGCTTTGCTCCAAGGCAATGACTTATTATAGAGAATACGATGAGACCGACTGTGCCTTTCTTTATTGAAACTTAGTACTGGCTAGGGGTCCCTGTGAGACGTCTCTACATTTGCTGCTGCTTCCTCTACAGAAAAGTCCCACGCTGCTTGCTCTGAAACTGTTGCTCATCAAGCATGGATTGACGCAGGCAGTTTTCCAGTTATGCAACATAAACAGTATTTTTGAAAACCTTGATCTGAAATGGCTCTCTATAATCACAGAAATGAGCTTTTATGGACACTTGACATGTAAAGACATAAGCTTAGCTTGGTCTTCTACTTTTATAATATATTTGTACATTAGGAATAGAAATATGCATAATTGCTTTTTCCTCATCCTACGTAATCCATATCAGATTAAATTTCAAAAATTTACAAATTCAAAAAAAATTATCATTGAAAAGTTACAAATTAAAAATTCTCTAAACCATCCGTATCAAATTTTAAATGGTCCAAATTTTATTCCCTCGATTGATTTTCATATGCTTATCTCAATGATGAGTACCACTAAATTAGAATCGGTGATTATATATAATCTTGATAATTGTATGTGAATTGATCAGATTAATTATATTTGACATATATTTTGTATTAAAAATAATAAGAATTCAATTCAATCCAACTTTATTTTCTAATTAATGAAGTTATTTTTTTATAAAATATGAATTTTTAAATGAAATTAATTACTTTTCCTTTACGACCATATTGAGAATAAAACTACAATTACATGCATGTCATTACAGGAGGAAAAAAAGAACTTTAAAGAAAAACTTGACAAAGAGCATGTTATACAACAAAAAGGCAACTAAAGGGGAAAAAAAAAAGAGATTTACTTTTTGAACCACACCTTATATGTATTCTCTGACATAATATATTTTAGGGCTATTTGCATATGGGGCACAACTGGTATATGTAACCAAACATCATGCCAATTAAATTCATGAATTACACTTTGTCATGAAAAATGAGTATTTTACTTTTATCATTTTATCGTAGAAATAAAACAGCGACAAATAATTTGAATTAGATTCTTATTCATTTTATTTTATACTATCATGGATGCGTCGCTACATACTATATAGTTATTTCAAAATTTGCAATTTTTATCAAAAAAGAAAAACGTTTGCAACTCCAATGAATTGCGGAGCGATCTATGATCCCCTTTGCGCGCTCGGAAAAGCGGGGCATTATTTGAAGTCTGTCATTCCCAAACACGAAGCCCACAATTTTCACAATGAAATGGGTTCAAACTTAAATCAAGAGCCCAACTCGAAAGTAAAGAAAGTATTCGAGCAATGAGGATTGAAAGAGCTCATTAATTTGTCTCCTAACAGGAATTAGATCTAGTAAAAAAAAAAAAAGTTTCTGGTAACATGACGAAACCAAAGTTTAAATTTTTGTTAAGAGATCTATTCACGGTTAGTGGCTGATAGTGCTTCAAGCAAGATTGACACTAAAATGAAAATACATGGATTTAGCAAGAAAACTCTGTTTTTTTTAATCAAATATAAACAACTCACTATTAAAAACTAGGAAATTTGTGATGGATTTTTTAAAAACATTTGTAACTAACCAAAATCCATCGCCAAAAAAAAAAACAATGGACTTGCCATGAATTTGCAATCCATGACTAACCAAAATAATTGTGACCGAAATCTGTGATGGACTAGTCTGTCTGTCCCAACTCGCTTAAAAAGTCCAATCCTACCAAAAATAAAAACACTCGAAGAAATATTAGGTATCTTTGGGTGGGCCCGGGCATGGGCAAGTAATGTCGCCCTGCCCAAAAGATATTTGTAATTGAGTATATTATAATAATACATAGTTTAATATTGTATTGTATTTTGGAAAAATCTTAAAAAAATGATTGTTAAATTTCAAAATTTTAAATCAATATTAGTTACTACACTCGTAAAAAAATAACTCCATTCAAAAAGCAAATGACAATATATTTTTGTAGTAATTCCTAATTTAAAATTTTAAAATTCAACAGTCATTTTTTTTGGGATTTTCTCTGTATATTTTTGCCAAAAAAAATCTCCCTCTTACTGTTTCCGTTTCCCATAGTAACCATATTCCTGCTTACTGGTTCGTTGCACATCTGATCTCTCTTCATTTTTTTCAAGTCATTTAACTGATCATCAGCTTGAGGTACTCTTGTTAGACTTATGCAGATTTCAGTTGTTTTAACTAAATTAGTGACTTCATATTTGGTGTAACTATATGTTATTTAGCCAACATTAAGTGCTCATTAATTGACACGTAATTGGTATACACTACACACAGTGCTTAAAGGACTTTTCACGCTTCTTTTCATAAGAAAACTCTGGGCAGAACACTAGCAATTAACTCAGGATTGTCGTCAATTTTGAGACTTTCTAACTAAAGAGATTAATTAAGGCGATAATATGTTGATGTAGATGCACAGAAATTTGCGGATGACGATGCATGATTTTCTGTAGGCAACATGAGTATTGGAGATAACAATAGACTATGAGGTTGCCTTGTTAGATTGTGAATGTTATGTAATTATTGAAGTATGAATATTTGTTAAGACATATAGCAGTATTTTAAATTTCAAGACTCAATTGTGAACTTCAAAATTAGAAATTATTAAACACAAATGATAACCCCAAAAGGAAAATAAATGATAATTAATTTTGGTGATAACCACTAAATGATGAGGTCAAAGCTTGGCACTTTAGTCGGTTTAAGATCCTAAACTCTTCCTAAGCATCTTAATGTTAGCTTCTTGGGTCGGGCTCCTACGAAAGAGTTGTGCAATTAAGGGAGCATATACCAGTTGCGTATCCACTTTCTTTGCATGAATCTTTTCCTCAAGCTTAGAGTATAACTGTCCAGTAGGATGAAGAGATTTCTATACCCTCCATCAAAGTCATCTGAAATGAACATTCCTTCAGGAACAAAAAGTATGGCCCTAAGTTCTACCTCACCCCGTAAAAAGTATAAACATCATCAGCACAAAATTAGGATTGTTAATCTCATTTATTGAGTGAATTATACATGCTTATTAATACAGAAAACAGAAACTGTCAAACCACTGCCTTACATTGCCAGTGGCGAGAGAGGAAGCTAGAATCGCATTAATAGATTAAGAAATTAAGGAGTAGAATTACCTCAGCAGCCAAATACTCAAGGGCACTAGGGCACCAATTCCAAACACCCTGTGAGTATCTTGCTTTCTTCAAATACCATGGGAAATTGAAGGCCGGCTTTCACAGACTTGGAACTGTCTAGCCATCTCCATTCTCTTCCACAATTCCAAATCACTGGCTTGAAAAATTATATATTTTGTTGTTTGGAATTTAAATTTTGAATTTTGAAAGAATGGAGGGAAAGGAAAAGAAGCGGAGACAGAGACTCGAGCCTCGGGCAAGGGAAGAAAAGAAGGCACAAAGACGAAGGTAACGAAAAGATTGAGGGAAAATTTTGACACCTCAGTTCTCAGAGACGAAAAAGCATCGGGATGGAAAAAGAAGAAGAGAGAATGCATGTAGGATCGACAAAGTGAAGGAGACAGCTTGATGAGGGGACTGTGGTCTTCTTCATTCTACCGCTGACTATGTGGCTTCTTTCCTCTTTGCAGGCTATCACGAAAATGGAAAATTGGCTAGGGCCTCTTTGGGAAGTGGCAGGCCATCCATGGCTCACACTTAAAAACGAAGCCCAATAAGTCCTTATGCAAGAACGATGAATAATTTATTTCAGTTGGCTTGGAGTCCGATAAATAATTTTTTTAAAATAAAAATGGCTTCTGTATATAGTTATCTAAGTCTAGAGATGTCTCAAATTTTGAAGTTAGAAATTTATAAGATGAGAGAGAGATTTAAATAATTAGTTAAAGCCTTAGAAATATAAATGTTTAGTAAAAGTTTATTTCTGAGTAAAAAAAAATTTATGAAGAATTAGGAAAGGAATATTTACTAAAAATATACAAAAGCCAGAATAATTAAAAAAATTATAGATAATTATTTTGAAAAATAAAGAAGTTTATGGCAGAGCTCGTTTTCCAAACAGGACTATATATAATTTAAAAACTAAGTCCCTAAATTAAGGGAAAATGACTGTTAAAATTTGAAATGACAAAATGAGCGTGCAAATAACTAAAATGACCAAATGGGCATAAAGTATCAATCTGGAATTTTGTCAATTCGGTAGAAAGACTAAAATACCCTTGAACCTCTCTGAAGATTTGAACTGAAAGAAAACACATAATATACCAGGAGAGAGAGAGAGAGAGAGTTGAGAAGACGAAGCTGGAGCAAGAGTCTAAATCTGGAAAGAGGAGAAAGGTAAGCAATTTTTCTATTAAAATGCTAGTATCGCCTGATTTCTTAACTCGCTTTGTTGCTGCATGCTCGAATGGGGATGGGCTTAGCTTGTGAATGTAGAGGGTTTAGATGAAGAATTTGACCAAGATGAGAGAGGGACGGATTGGAAATGGAAAAATGGTGGCGAACAATAAGCATGAGATGGTTAGTATTGTTAAGTTCGTTAGTGAAATTGTAAAATCCTATATTTAAGTTGTTAATGGAGTAAGTGGGTGTGTGTGTGTTTTTTGGGTGTTTCAGAAGGTAAATGAAATTGATTATTGGGGAACTAAAATATTGATTTATGCTTCTTTACTGCAGGTTAGCAAGTTTTGATGACATCTAACATTGGGTCTAGCATTAAAGAGTAATTTTTTGGTGTGAATGGAATAACTTTTGAACCCTTCTTAATTTTTTTGGGAAAATGGTTGATAGGTAGCTTATCTTTTTTATAAATGATGTTAATTGGGTAGGATATATTTTGTAATCTGAATGATAAGGAAACATTAGGTGGTGGTTTAATCTTAATGTTAACTTGTCATTTGAATATAAGTTATATAGCTTTTGTTATAGGCGTACTGGTTTTTGGTAAATATTATCGCTTCAGTAGTCAATTCCATTATACATGTAGTAAAGTCTGAATGTTAATATAAATATATTATGATGTTCTTCAGGTGTTCTTGTATGCTATTTTGTCAACACATTTTACCATTTGTTTAATTCCCCCAAGGGAGATGGTAGAAGTTGCCAATGGGCATCACCGGAGTGGTTAATTTGATTACAAATGTTGTTATTCACATTACAAATGTTGTTATTATCATTATTGGGGTAGTGAGTGGCTATGGCACATCATCTT